GAGGAGGTTGACAACAATAAGGACTCTAGAGATAAAAGAGATAAACTTCAAGAAGAGTTCTGGACTCAAGAGGACTCTCTAAGTTTCTCCTATAAAAGGGAGCATGTTCATTCATTTTACACAACACACATTCACGACTTATCCCGTTACTCTGCCGTTTTCTCTCTAGACCATCACTGACTTGAGCGTCGGAGTGTTCGCGCCGAGACCACCCCCGGCGTGCTTTGCAGGTACCGACGATCAAGGAGACGCAACCCGGTTCGAGAGGAGCGGTCCAGCGGTTCGAGTATTTGTGGTATAACACCTGAGGCCCGCTAGAATTAGGGTTATGTTATTTTATTGGTAGTCCGTTTAAATTCGAGTTTTTTAGGCCCGATTCATTTTGGGCTAGCCCGTTTAACATCTCTAATAGAAACACTTATTATAGCATACAAAAAGACTAATTTATAGGGAAAAAATGACAAAAAGAAACAGTGAAAAAAAAAAAAATCTCTTTTAACCGGACCAAAGTTGATCAATAATCATGACACCAAAATCGCACTTACCAAAATAACATAATATTTTATAAATATTAATTTTGGTTGGATAAGTATGGGTTGGCCCGGCTCACATACAACCCGAACCCATTTTTATTTTTTTCAATTGAAGCTTTTTTGCACCAGTCCACAAAGGGAGGTTGCAGACTTGCAGGACACAAGAGTGAACGAAAATGGCTGCGCTTTGCGGAAACTGCTCCTCTTTTGCTTCTCCCATGTCGCGCCTCAACCCCGCAAATCAGCTGCCTCTTAACCCTCCTCTTTCGCACCGCCCATGGAGGAATATGGGCAAACCCACTGATTTTACACTGCCTGCTGCTTTGTCGTTGACCTCATCGCCCCTCCATGGTTCGTATCTGCTTGTTCTCTCCCTTCTATTTGTGTTTGTCTCCCTTTAGTTGGTTTAACATCAAATGTCATATATTTCTTGTACATTTTCACGCGTCAGTGCGTGCGTGTAGTTGTGGAAATTCTTGTAGAACTGTTCAGAGTTGTTAAAGATCAATGCTTTTTTCTTGTTTCTCCGGTTATTACCTTTCTAAAATTTGTAGAATTATAATTGATTTTTAGTTCTGATTTGGCGCCTGTCTTAATTTTTTTTTAAGGTTTTAGATTTGGAACGGAGAAGAGGAGGAGTGATACATTGTTGCAGACATTAGCTGTTCGACATCTGACCGGCTCGCTTGTGTCAGCCGAGGGTCTCCGTTTTGCGATTGTCTGTATTTGTGCTGCTACCTTATACATTTCCCCCATGAATTTGTTGTTTTAGTATTATAATTAGTCATCCAGAATCCGGTGTGTGACACGCTAATTGGGTCAATTTTATGTTATCATGACTGTCATGTTATTATTGTTGTTGCTGTTGCTGTGATTGTAGCTGTTTTTTTTCTGCTCTGTTTTCTTGATAGGATTGTATTCTTTTTGTTCGGGCTTTTGGGTGTTGAGGAATTTCTGTGCAGATTTCATTGTATTGTTTCAGTTAAATATAAAGATTTCTTTTGTTATGAAGGTTGTGGCACGCTTCAACGAGATCATTACCAGACCACTGCTGGATGGAGCTCTGGATACTTTCAAGAGATATTCAGTTAAAGAAGAAGATATTGATGTTAGTTTGCGCTTGCCCATAATGTTTCGTTTGATTATTGCACATGATGAGTAATTAATTCTTGCTACTGTAATTGAACTTTTATAAATCATCTGAATTCTGATGCATTCTTTTCCATGCACTTTTCAAGTTTTCTTTAATGTGTGCTGCGCCTTTGGATTTCTTCAGAAGTTTTTTCCCAATAGAACAAAAAAGTGTTTTAGTATGTAACATCTTGCTAAGTATCAACCCATGTTATTATTTCAGTGTCAGGAAAGCTAATGTTGTAGGCATTTGAAATTAATATCCAGTAATCATAAAGATGGTTTGAATCATAGCCTTCATGAATTTCCATATGCATGCGAACATTTTGGCCCTCAAAGAAGGAAAAAGGGAATACATTAAATGGTTGTGAAAACTTCCTAAGATACTGATGCATTTGGAAGCAACCATATATTTTTCCTTTTGCATGGTTTAATGATGCCTGATGAGGGATAGATACCAGGACATTACCAATTATGTTTTTCCTTGGAGAGTATTACTATTTTGTGATGCTGGTTAACTGAATGGCTTTATGAGTGAGCGTTTCTTTGTGTTGGTTGTTCGGTTTAAGAAAATCTTTTGATGAAGCAACAAAACTTCGTATTCACATGCGGTAGGTTGTTTGGGTGCCTGGTAGCTTTGAGATAGGTGTGGTTGCCGAGAAACTTGGGAAATCACGAAAATATCAAGCCATTTTGTGCATTGGAGCTGTGGTAAGCTTTCTGCTTTGCTTTGCTTTCGGACCTTTTCTGTCTATTTGTAGTTTATTATCATAGTTAGAAGCCTATTATGTTCTTTTCTATTTAGTTTCTCAGGGAGGCAGATTATTACCTTTTTTTTTTTTTTTTTTTTTTTTTTTTTTTTTTTTTTTTTTTTTTTTTTTTATGTTGTTGTTGTTGTTGTTGTTTCTTTTTTAACTAAAGCTTCTCTGTTCATCTACTTGTTTGTACATCAACTTTATCTCTTTTTGTTGCTAAAGGATTTCTCTTTTGCACTTTTCTGGACCAGTAGATTAGAGGAGATACAACCCATTATGATGCTGTAGCTAATTCGGCTGCGTCTGGAGTACTGTCAGCTGGTCTAAATTCAGGTTCATTATGTGGACCAAGTGAATTTACTAATGCATTGGCAAATGTGAAATCTTTACATGAATAAACAGATTTCATTGTTGTTATTACTGGAAATCAGGAAGATGAAACACCAAAGGAAAAAAGATACACACTAAAATCTCCATATAAATTAGTACCTCTAGTAGGTTTATCAGAATTGGGTCCTCTCAATTTCTTAAAAAATATTTAACTTCTTTTTGTTTGCTATTCTTAGTTGAGTCGGATTGTTAGTTTCAATTTGGTTGTAGATTACTATCTCTAGCGATATGGAATAAGGTACTAATTTATTTTTATTTGGTCTTGGGACAACAAATTAAATTTCAAGTAACTGATTGCTAACAATACACATGATTCCTTGTGTTTCAAACCATATCAATATTTATGTTACAATTTTTGTGTGTGACTGTATGATGTAGGGAAGCATACGAGTGGGACGATAAATTGAGAGCAGTCTCAAAATACCAAGAACAATATCATTTTTTATTCATTAATTAACCATCCATCAAAGTCACGGGGTTGAACAATATATAATAATCATAATCTTAGTCTCCTAAACTTGCCCAACAAGCTAGATAATTATTTACTTGTCCACTAAGCAAGTAATTATTCTCTTACCAATTAACTACTAATCATAAAAGGAATAATAATAATAATAATAATAAAAATAATAATAATAATAATAATAATAATAATAACAATAATAATATTCATTCTCTATCATCCTCCCCCGGTTGAGGAGGATTCGCTCTCGAATCCGAGACGACGCGACCAAGCCGTTTCCTTGCCCTTGCATCCAACACGGCGCTTTGACCATGCCATCAAACCCACAACCCACAGGAGCCGCACCAAAAAAAAGCCACGATTCGGGCCATATTATTCGTAAAATTGAATGTATAAGTCGAATTGAAGACCCATCTCAAAATGACCTCGTACTTGATAGTCGGAATCACGAGTCCATCAATAACATCACAAATAGAAAGAATGTGTGGATGGGGAACGTCATACAAAAATTTCTCTCCAATCTTCTCCGGTTTCTCATAAAAAATCGGTGGACCGTCGTACGCCACGAACGGCTCCTCGTCGTAAATCGGGGGGCCCTCGTACTCGATCGAACCAAACTTCTCCTCCGCCACATCGTCGTCTGCCACGAGTGGCTTCTCATCAAACATCGGGGGGCCTTCGGACTCGGCCGAGCCAAGCATCACCTCTGCCACGTCGTCGTCCGCCACGAGTGGCTCTTCGTCAAAAATCGGTGGACCGTCGTACTCCCGACCCTCCACCTGCTCACCGTCTTCATCGCCGGACGACAGTTGTGGTGTTCGTCCGCGGGGCGCCCCGCCTGGACCACGACCACCACGGCCGCCGCTAAATCCCCCGTGCATGCCCCGGTCGCCGGCGTCACGGTACGTCTGCCAATCCACGTGCATCATAGTACGGAGAGTAAGACGATTGTCCCCGATTCCGCGGACAGATCTGCAACTTGACGACGCATCGTCTTGAGCTCGCGGCCAACCTCCTCGGTATGGCGGCTCAATTCGTAGATGGCGGCGTCACGCCTGTCGTCTGCAGCATCTCGTCGGCGCGGCAGTATCGTGATCGTGCTGACTTCTGATACCAACTGATGTAGGGAAGCGTACGAGTGGGACGATAAATTGAGAACAGTCTTAAAATACCAAGAACAATATCATTTTTTATTCATTAATTAACCATCCATCAAAGTCACGGGATTGAACAATATATAATAATCATAATCTTAGTCTCCTAAACTTGCCCAACAAGCTAGATAATTATTTACTTGTCCACTGAGCAAGTGATTATTCTCTTACTAATTAACTACTAATCATAATAATAATATAATAATAATAATAATAATAATAATAATAATAATATTCATTCTCTGTCACAAACAACTAGAGCGTAGTATGAATAAGGAAGAACACACACAATTCTTACGATAAATCTCAATTTTTATTCATCAAAGTCTGTCCCCAAAAGAGAGAAGAGAAGACGATGGTTTTAATACATCAGATAAATCCCTAATCTTAAAAGTTCCATAAATAACAAAAAAGGCCCAACACTAATAATAATAATAAAAAGAGCCCAACAATAAATAAAGACAACTAAAGAGAAATAAGCTAGCTAAATACGAAGACGGTCATATTTATTTAAGAACGCTATCGCGGTCTCGTCTCCATCACTGTATGTCTCGAAGTATTCTCTAACCAGGAATAATTATGAAAAAAAGCGCCCTTGTGGACTTTTCAGTTGGAGCCATGCTACCCGTTTTTCAAAAAGGATCCATTATCATTCAAAACAAACCGGGAAATATTCTTACTAAGCACCTACCTCAGATTTTTCAGTTGCTCTTTAGAGCATGTCACTTTTGGACTTCTGCTTTAGTGTTTGTGACTAAATTTCATTAATGGATGGATCTGTCTTCATTTTTCCGCAGGTGTCCCTTGCATATTTGGTGTACTTACGTGTGATGACATGGAGCAGGTAATGCGTTTTGTAGATTTTCCTATTAGCAATTGGTGAAATATGCATTTTTTTTAATATTCCCATCAGCAAGTCATGTTTGTTCTCATCAAATCAGGCCATCTGAGATTAGCATGCTTTTGTTCTCTTCAAACTTGAAATTTTGAGGAGCATATGTATATTAACCCAATGAGTAAATTGCTATACTTCTTGTTCTAGTGGCCTTGAATTCTCCTAAGTTGTATCATGACGACTGCAGGCCATAAATCGAGCCGGTGGCAAATCGGGAAATAAAGGCGCTGAAGCAGCTCTGACAGCTGTAAGTTGACTAACTTATATATATATATATATTAAATATATATATTAATAATATATATACAAGAAAAGTATTGTGTATATATATATGTATATATATATTGTATGTGTGTGTGTGTATAATGGGGGCCTAGATCATCTGGTTTTCCACGTTACATATACTGAGCATCGCGTTTAACCTTCATCATATTGATTCTTGTGTCTTCCCTGCCAATTCTAACAGGCATCAAGTCTCTTATTTGTGAATGTGTTATTGTATACTTTATTTAAATTGATAGGATTGTGTGAATAAAATCAATCATTGGCATGAAACTTGAAATGAAAGTAAATGTAAGAATATTACTTTCAGCAAAGAGAATTTTATCCATTATTGGGTATAAAACAGGTTAAGCAGATTCTTATTCTTGGGCATAGATTTTAACTTCAGCACTCTATACACTAGTAACAAAACTGTACTTGCTTATTCTTTTTCGTAAAGGTGCATCACAACAACATTGCATGCTATTCTCTTTGTTCTTTTTACCCCACCAATCATTGCATTACCAAAAAAGAAAAAGCTCGAAACAGAGAATATAAAGTTTTTGTTGGAATATCACTTGTGAGTCGTCCCACATTGATTTGATAGGGTAAATGAGTCTAGTTTATAAGCCTAGTGGGCTACTCCTCCCATCATCAATTGGTTTTGGGATGGAACCTCACTATGGTGCACCTATGCTCATCCTCTATACCCCCTCTTATGGTGTGCTTCACTATGTTGTTCTGTACACAAGTGAAATCTGGATCTCCATGGAGCCCATGGAGCATCGTTTTCTGTTGGATGTTTATTTTAACTGCAGTCTCCTTTGGTTCAACTCGATGATTAAAAGATAACTTACTCCCTCAAATGTTGTAAATTCCATTAGAACAACTTCTTGTTTCCCCTGCATTTTCTTTTCTGTTTTTCTCTCTTGTAAAGTTTTTCATTCTTGGCTCGCTACAGATCTTTTGTGCTTCATTTCGTACCTTATCTTTGCTTGATTGGTGGCAATAGCTTTTCTACCCCTATAAATGTCTATGTCATCATTGTTCATGTTTATGTTTATGTTTATGTTTATGTTTGCATAACTCGATGATTATCGTTCACTGCTCATTTTCTGTTGTTCGGTTCACTTGGCAGATTGAGATGGCATCTCTATTTGAGCATCACCTCAAGAATTAATGTGCATTTTCTTCCACCCATCGTCTTGGAAAAGGTTTGTTGTGTTGTGTTTCTCTTGTGTCTTCAGGGATAACAACTGGAACTTCACTTAATACATAAACAATCTTTTTTTTTTTTCGTTTCTTTTAAACTTTTGAATTTACACCATGCCGCCTTATGGCCATGTTTGAGACTTTCTGTAACGAAGCTACTTTCAAGACAAATCAGTTCCTCGTATGCTCTGACATTCGTCCTCTTTTTCTACTTCTGTTTTATCGGCCGGTGGGGGTGCGAAACGATGAGTGTTGTTTGTGTCGTGTTTGGCAATTATTATTATCGAATAATTGATATTTTTTAGAGAATAATCGATGATTGATTGTTTTAATTGATAATTTTAGAGAGTACTTGATGATTGGATTGTTTTAGTTGATGTAAAGAGCAAATGTCCCACCTAAGGAGATCCCATAGGTTTATCAGGAATGATGGAATCACTTGGTCTATTGTCTTTCGGCAAAGCTGAATTTGGCATACCTTCACCATTATCATCAGCACTCAGAGTGATACATATGTATTTGAGCAAAGGTATCGAGTTATGGTCCATAAACCACCAAAAGCTCTGTGAAGACTGTTGTTCTAACACAAGTTTTATGTTTTTTAAGTCATTGGGAGTCGAGAGAGAGAACTATAAAATTGTCGGGAGTATGTAGAGTACGCAAAACGCGTTTAAACACAACAGTTATCCATGTGCTTAGACAAATTCACCACGGCTTAATTATCTTTCCGAAATAAACCCCTGAAAAAAATGCAATCTGCAAATATAAACAACTCGGAGCAGTAAAGAACCCACCACATGCAGTTGGAAAAATACAGCTCATAGTAAACAATGCATTGGATGAAATTTATCAATTTAAACCGGTGAGAATGCACAATTCACAGTATACCAAATATTCGAGTCTTAGGCCACAGTTAGATCGAACGTTTCTTTAGTCTTTCAATGGTGTGATACTAAAAATTCACAGCATTGAACAACAGTCAACAGTCTTTTATTATCATATAGTAGCCTATTGATTTATCATCAAGTCTATTTTCAAGTTAACACCAACTACCAAGAAAGCGAAACAATAACTTCACTCAATTGCGAAGATTTCGGCTTACTCATATTGCACATGCAGAGAAATGACCAAGATCTGCAGACGTTGCTTCATTACCTGATAACCCACAAAACGATAGCCATCAAATTAAAGTCGGGCAATGTTTTATCATCATACGCACCAAGAATACATGAAGGCTTTCGCACATTGGATTTACATAATGGGGAAAGGATAACATTATTCTACTTACCTGTTATGTACAGTAGTACACCTCCAAGAGAAAGCCGCCACATCTTTACCAGTTCGACTACAGAATGTAATAATATAATGTAGAGAAATTGCAACCAGAACTTTCGCGAAACTGACTAAATTGACTAAGTTGAACCCGAAGAGAATAGCCTCCTGAAACTGTTAAAATATAGCAAGAAACATGCCCAATTGACAATAGAAATTAAAGAAGATGGAAACACAAAAGGATGAACATATAACGATAAATATAATCATAAGTTTAATTCCCCATGCGGCAAGCCACAAGTTACTTAAACTAATTACTTACAAAACCACAAGTTGCTTAAACTATTTACTTACGAAAAACCACAAGTCAGTTAAACTAATTACTTGCAAAAGAAGCATCTCAAGCGTTATGATGCATACTCATACTAACTAGGCAAGATGACTCACTCTCTCCATTTCAGTTGAAAGCGCATCTTTTGATCATCATTGTCCGGCAACGCTAATTGGGATAAATTCTCACTTTGCACACAACGCCATTCGACTCCATTTTGACCATAGGTCTCCACACTTACTTCCTCTAAATCCTGCTGCCAAATGCGGTCCTCCCTTTCTTTCTTCATGAGGAAGATCCACATACGATCAATAAGTTCATTGGGTTCTCCATACGGATTGGTCCCTGGATATGCTGGCAACTCCATGTATTCATCTTCTAGTCCATGCACTTGAGCCGCTCGAGCGGCAGCATACCATTCGGTGAAGCGTAAATGCTCCTCTTCATATGCATAATAAGCATCCATGTTATCTTCATACTCTTCAGACTCTGAACGAGGATAGAAAGACTCTTCTATGTATCTCGGCCGAAAGCTGCCGAAAAAATAATTTAAAAAAGCTTCGAGGGAAGAACAAGGATGACGGTGAGAAAAGGCCAAGCATTCAATCACGGCAGGTTCTCCAAAACCCCCACAGCCATGTGGTACCTCCAGAGGGAAATCCCTCATGTGCAGATGAATCCTAGAATGATTTAATGCTCTAAGCAGTTCATTTAACTTGACAAACAACAACGCAGTTTCACTCTTAGTAATCAGTTCACGCTTCAAGAGTATGAGTGACCTCCACTCACTGGAATTTGTTGTCAACGTGATTGAAGGGAAATCATCACATAACAATTCAAAAGAAAGTATATTCGGGAGGTCAATAGCTGCCTTGGTGGGGCCATTCACCGCAAGATGCAACCGCTTAATCGAATGGCT